TCCAACTTTATACAGAATATGCAAACATTTCTTTTCGCTCCTTTTACAAGTACCTAATATGTACAAGATTTTTTATGACTCAAAAGATAAAAAAATTTGACTCAACTACATACCTTTAAAATACCCACTTAAAATTATCTTAGTGTCTGTCACATGAAGATTTATTTTGTAAACTGTAGAAATTTTAAAAATTACCCAGGAATAAAAATCCCTACGTGACCAATATTATAATTCATTATCCAGCTGATTTTAAGCCAGAAGCCTGGCAGGCATAAATGCAGTGATCGGTACCTAGGCCCACCGAGAGCTCTGGCTGCCAGCCTGCTTGCTCACTCAATATCTTTTATGCTAGTAGTTTCATGCAAAGACTGGTCTTGGATGAATGTTTTCCAGGCCTTTGGGTTGAACTAAACTAAGAATGGGGAACTGTGCCTATTGCCCCTTTGCTTTTGTTTCTGGTCTTCCAAAGTGTAATCAAAAAGAGGTTTGGAAGAATTTGTATTCTGAGTACTTCCAAAAGACTCCACCGCTGTCATAATGTCAAGCATTTAAATTTAATGTAAGTGGGGTTTTGGGGTGTTTGTTCATTTGTTTGTTTGTTTTGCAAAAGTCATAAAAAGCAACAAAGAATTCTAGGACAATAAGAAATTAAAATGAATTTTAAAAATAAAAAGAAATTTATGTCATACTTTAGTGACTAAAACAAAGTTTAGAAAACGTTGTCTTCAAAGGCACATAATAAGTATAGATGATACTGAATCCACAAAATCATGTAGATGCTCATGTATGACTTTTAGGTAACAGACCTTAACAGAATCATTAATGTATACTGGGTATTTGCCTGTGAATGGATGCATTTTAAGATTTTTTCAGAGTAGGAGGCATCTAATTTTCTAAAAATGTGGCTGGTCAAATCCTATTTGAAAGACGCTCAGACCTGATTTTATGTTGGAATGTTTAACACATCCTGCATTCTGCATCTTGTCCTTTGATATTCAAGAGAGAAAATTGATTGGTTCAGCTTATATCCACTGTCTGCTTCCTGTTCCCTCCCCACCGTCCTGTCAGCCCTGGCCTTGGCAGGGTTATCTGACACCAACAGGCCAGACTCTCCCTTCCCTCCAGCAGAGAGTGGTCTTCCAAAAGAAGTGGGAGGCAGGGACACACAAACATGTCTGCTGCCATGTTTGGTAAGGTAGGTTTGTATTGCTTGTGCTACTGGGAAAGCACAACAAAGAAAAGGTGTTCACAGTTGATAAGTGCTCTTTGATAAACAGACTCTCTCTGGCAGCTAATTCAGACCTAAACAGATGAACATGCATTTGCTGAGAACCAATGAGTTGTTAGGCTCCTACTTTGTGTTATAATTAATTACTGTTTTACAGTATTGTCTCCACTGAAAATAAAAATATTAGTTAAAGAAAAATTTTATCAGTAATTCTGTCCTTTGCATAAAGTCATCATTGTTTATGAAAACTGCTCTTGAAAATATTGAATAATTATGAATGCCAAAGAAATTAATGCCAATAAGGTCCAAGGCAGTCTGCCCATGATTATAAATATCCACCCATTCTAAAAGGAAACAATACCCTCAAAAATTCTAATGTTGGTTCTATTTTTCTCAATATCAGAACTTATTTATGGCTGTTTCTCCCATTACTAATTCCAAATATATTTCTTTAAAGAAAGCATAGTGAAGTGCCAACTGAATAGAAAATACTAAATGTAAGAAATGTGGTCAGTCTCCATTGTCATTCTTTTTTAACTTGTTTTTTGTATTGCTGAATAGAACACAGAGCCTCACACATGCTGTCCATGCTGTCCACCATCATTCTTGAGAGTAGGTGCCTGAAATTTGTCTGCTCTCCATTAATGGAACACAAAAAGGGAAGGAGAGAGGGCAGGAGAAAGGGATGGAGGGATAAAAAGATAGTATAAAAGAAGACAGGTATACAAACTGATGCAATTGAGAAATTTTCATTTCCATAATTATGATTCTCTACCCTTTTGCAGTAGTAAGTTTTTGGGAGAAATATCACTTGTGTCATATAATCTTTTAAAACTCTACTCATTCTTACATTTTATAAAATATACCTAAAGTGACACTTGGAGGATGTCTATTGAACATGTAAATATCCCTTTCAGGGTAGGCATAAGTGAACTGTTAAGAAAGGGAAGAGATGTTGCCTTGGTGTCTGGTTAACTTGCCTGTAGATTCACTCCCCAGGTAGGCTTCATCCAGGGTTGCCTTAATGCAAACCTAATATGCTGCTCTTCTGCCTGAAACACTTCCTCACTCATTGCTCTTGGAGGAAAGACCAATATCCATATCACATAAGCCCTGCATGTCCTGCTTGGCCTTCATTTCAGGCTCACCTGGCTCATCTCTTCCATGTTGTCTGAATTCTCCTGATGGGGTGGCCAGCCATCATTTCTCTTTAATGGCTGTGCACCTCCCTACAGTAAGACCCAAATTCCCCCTAAAGCTTTTATTCCCTTCACCACTCTATCTCACTTTCATTCTGCCCCTTTTCCCAATGAACATTTATTCTTCAAAATTTATTATGGCTATCAGTGAAAACTTACCCTGTTCTTCCCAAATCAGTGTTGGTATATCTCTTAAAATATCATGTACATATCCTATATTTATTTCAAGTTTTGTAATTAGTAATATTTTAGAAGGTCTTTCTCTAGATTCTGTATAATCATTTTTATTGAGAGTTTGGCCAAGCACCTGATCTAAAGTATGCAGCAAGGGCTTAAAGAAAAGACACAAGTAGTATGGTTTATGAGGTCCAGGGAAGTCAGAACTCTCATGGAGCTAACGCAGAATCTTTTCTGGCTATCCAATATTTATTGGATTCCAAACAAATTGGGGGTTGGGGGACGGTGAGGGAAGTGACAATTTAGGGCTGTAGAATAGAGAATAAGAGCCAACATCCTTGACTGCCTTGATGGGGTGTTATCTTGTCTTCAGAAAGCTGTGGTCAGCAACTTACTCCTTACACAACTGGGTCTCTAACACTTCTATTTTCATTCATTCACTTGTACTTTTTTTTTTCAGTACTACTGATTAAACCCAGGGCTTTAAACATGCTAGCAGGTGTTCTGTCACTGAGAGACAGCCCCCAGCCCTTTTTTGTTTTGAGATAGTGTCTTGCTAAGCTGCCGAGCCTGGCCTTGAACTTGCAGTCGTCTCGCATCTATCTCTCAAATAGGTGGAATTTTAGGCATGTGCCACCCACTCCTGGATCAGCTGTGCTTTTTAGTTATTTATAGGAACATTTTTTTCTTTTAGAGCTGTGACATTTCTGAATATTTTAAGTAAATGAATGCGTTTAACACATTCACAGTGGAGCCATAATTCATCTGTCATGTTTACAGGCCTCTCTGAAGCACCAGTAGTACATACAACAACCTAAGTTTGCAGATCAAAACTTGGAGAAAAGGAAGGGCTGCAAGATCAGCTGACATTTTGGCCCTAGTCTTTCAAGGTCAGTGAAGACTCAAGACATAGGAGAACCTGTACTGTAACATCATGTAACTCAGTTGTGTCCCAAATTTTCTGATCAAGGAGATTATGGAACCACAGAGGAATGCGATTGATGATGTATAATGTGCCTAAGGAGAGTCACATGGAAAGAAAACATTCTCTCAGGCTTTCACAGAGAGCAAATTGGCCAAGCAATGGCTGTGACTCATCCACATGGCTGACACTCACAAAGGATCTACAAAATGTGGTACAGGGTTACAGGATACATCCTGAGGGTACTTGACTGACCTTATCAAATACAAAAGTTACATTTCTTGTTATATAGGTCTTGCTGTATCTTGGTCTTAACCATCCAGCAGAAAAGTATAAAAACAAGGTATATAAAGTAAAGCCATATTAATATGCAGAACTGTAAAGGCTCAAGTCAACAACTTCTGTGGATAACCTACTAGTATTGTGGAATGCTGGACTGTGTTGGATTGTTTTGCTGAATTCACACACCTATAGTACTTAGGTGCCAATGGAATACCCATCTCTGACAGGACTAAACGAAAAACGGAGATACAAAGGAAGGACCATTTTGTATTTGTATATACAGAATAGTTAGGATAGATATGCAGCTACTTTAGCTTAATTCAATGAGAAGAAAGATTTGTACTAATAGTGTTTGGACAGGATATCCTGCCTGCTTTTTGTACTATGGATAACCACTAAGAAGATAACAATGTATAATGTATTAATTATTGAAACTGTCCTATTAATCAGCTTTGAAACTGTCTCATTGATATTTGTTTCTCAATCAAATAAAATTTTAAAAAAGCAAGACTATTCCATTGGACAGTTTATACCACCCAATGGGACTGTCCCTTGCCACCCCATGAGACAGGCATGTACATGCCACCCATGGTTCAAGATACCGGGGAATGTGTGGATTCCTGAATTAGAACTCATCATCAGTTAAACTTTCACAATCCTTCTGAAGTGCAAAAACAGTAAAACATCACCCCTTTCAGAGACCATAAAATTAGAAGTGATGGAAATGTGATCTCAGTTCACTTGAGAAACCAACAGAAGTGTTGCCGGCTAGTGCTGACAACCTATAACAATGCTAAGTAGAGTCCGTTTAGCAACCACTTGACCAAAGTGAACAGGCCTTGCAGCAACAAATTAGACCTGAGATTCTCTCTGGCCTGTATCACTTTCAGTGCTGTAATCCCAGTAGGAGTAATGAACTGCAAAACACTAGTACTATGCAACCCATGTGATTACTGTCACTCTGCTGCATCAGGATTACTTGAGTAATTCTTTGTTTAATGAGGATGGACATCTTTGCATCTCTAGCTAGTCTCGTTCCTTTCTCCTCCACCCACCCCAAAGGCCTTACTTCATTTTGTGAGCACGGCGATGTTTAGTTCTACCCTCTGGGCATCAGTTACCTCTGTTTCTGTCAGATATTCTTCTCTGCTCCAAAAACAGTATGAAGGTTTTCCTTAAGCTGTCTTCTCAGTTTTATCAGGGGTCACATTTCGAGCAGCATCAACATCCCATTCAGTGTCGCGTTCACTGCTGAAGGAGAGCTTGCCCAGGGCCCTTACACCACGATGCTCCAGAGCTTCAAGGGGAAGGTCATTGTCATTGTGGGAAACGTGGCGAAGCACACAGCTGAGGTAACTATCAGTGCGTATGATGAGTCACTCACCTTTCTGCTGTCCCGGTTGTAGAACGGCCTCTTTCTTCAGGAGTTGATCATAAATGGAATTGGCTTTGCAGATCTGCAAGAACTCTTCCATAGAAAAGTTTGTCTGCCTTTCATGTTTCCAGAGCTAGTACTAAGCTTAATCCTAATGATATCTGCTGTGGTTTGGGTGTTTTGTCCAGGTTTTGCTTGGGAGCTTGGCCTCAGGTGATTTTGAAAGGTGGGACCTTTAAAAGGTGAGGCCTTTGGGAGGGCATTAGATCCATGAGTGCCCTTGGAGGGGGACTGTAGATCCCAATCTTTTCCTGACTTCCTGACCAAGATGTGACCTCTCTTCCTTGTACATTCCTGCCATGCACCAGAACTGTGAGCTAATTAAACCTCCTTCCCTTATGAAATTAGCCTATAGCAGATTAATGAAAAGCAAATTAATGTGTTTTTAATGATGGGGAGACTGCTTTCTGGAATTGCAAAGATATAGTTAGAACAAAAATACTGAGTGGAATACTATAGACTCTGAGAGCTTCTCAGATGGATTTTGTAGGATTTAGAAGTTTTGCATACTAGAGGCTGAACACTTTCTATTTAAGGAAAAGTAGGAGGCCAAGGAGATAGCTCAGTATGAAAGGTCCTCAGTTCAATCCCAGTATAAAGAAAAAAAAGAAAAGCTAGGATGTCACCTCTCAGATATGAACATATGTGAAACAATAAAATGCCTTCCTTCTCCATCAAGGTATTCCAAGCTGGTGAAAAAATGAAAGAGGCCTAAAAGGACACTTATTAATAAAGGACAAATTAAAGATCACAACTTAGCACAAAACCCCAGTCAGACCAAGACAAAAAAAAAACCTACATGCACACAGAAAACATATCTAGAGAGAAGCAGTATTGAACAAATACAGGCCTTTTTCTCAAGAGGAAGGAGAATAATGTAAACCTCCCCAAGCTTAATGAATCCCTCTACTTCCCAGAGTAGAATGATAAAAAGAACCAAATGAGGTCAGAAGGTGCACAAGAAAACTTCCTCACCACGAAGATATAGGAGTGGGAATGAATATTCCCCTCTAATACATGTGTTTCCTTATGTCTGCATGAACTGTTCAAACCATACATGTGATTACTAAAAATGTATTCAGATGAGAACTTTGAAACTTTTTGGTATAGGCTATCTTAAGTGTCCAAAAATCCTTTTTTCAGAAATGCAAGCAAGGATAGTAGTAACATTTACTCTGGATGTTAAATGAAGATCAATTTGATGATGAAGCTTGACTGATCACATTTTAAAAGTATCTTGAGTATTAATTATATCATAAAACATTTACCCCTCTTACATAATTTTATCTAGTGTCTAACAGAGAACCATCTAAATACACGTGTTTCATAGAAAGTACAGTAGCTGACCACTTTAATTTCTAGTCAGTGAGAACTTTTTATGGTTATGGTATCTATATTATTTTGATGTATGTTAAACTAATATTATTTTACTATTACCACTATACTACTGCTGGTACCCTAACCTATATTGTCATATTGTTCCAATAAAAAATGTCAGTTTTAAATGAAAGTGCATATCAATACATCATCTCACCTTATTCTTTATAATAATCCCATGGGGGAGGAATCATTCTACACTTTTTACAATCCTAGATTTGAACCATAAAAAAATCCTAGATCCAAAGTTTATCAAATTTGCCTATGTTAAGCCAAGGTCAAAACATGAGTCTGTATGACTCTACAGGTCATTCTCTTAACTCAGCGTACACTTGAGTCCTTTGAGTCTGAATGCTGTCTCTTCTCTGTTTCTTTATAAAGGTATTCTGGCTTTTCACAGAATACAGTAGTTTTCCCATAATATAAAAGCAGGACTGAAATTAACCTGCTTGGGAGGAGAATGGCCTTAGACTTAACCAAGCTCACTGTGGTAAGACCACAGTGCTGGGCAAACCACACGACGTCCACCATAAAGCCGGTTCCTGCAGACTGAACCAGGCAGCTGACCACCTCCATTGCTTCTCCCACAGCCTTGGGTGGCAGAGCAGGAGCAAGAGTCCACTCACAGGAGGCATTAAAGCTACCACAGAGCTTTGTCTTAGAGATCAGTGCCAGGCCCAACCCAGTGAGACACAGCATCTCTTATAAATGAAGGCCCCTGCGCTAGTCATTGGTCACAGATTCCAAACTAGGCTTGACATCAGGCAGAGATGTGAGCCAGCAGGACAGACTTGAGATTCAGCCTGCATTATTTTCACCCTTCAAGAGAGTCCAGGAAACCCTCTACCTTTTTATAGTTCCACTTCTCTTTTTGTATTTGGTCTTACTTCTACATTAAATACATCAGGGAACCTTTAGAATCTGCCACTTCTTAGTATTGATCAAAACATTGCCTCCCCAAATAAGACAAGATAGAACTATAGAGGTCTTTTTAAAATAAGTTTATTGGTACAGTTTGATAATATTCATCATACGAAATTTGTACCTGTATATATCTTGGTACCTGTTTTTCTTCCCATTCCCCTCCCCTCCTTTCAGCCCCTCTTCCATCCTTATTTACAAAGCCTAGAACCCCTTGTATTTTTTTCTACAGGCTAAATTAAGTTGCAATGTCAGTTACTCCCAATTTATCTTATCATAAAATTTAGATAATGTGACCTTGCATGCCTGAGCACTTCCACATATGCTGTGAGCAGGTTCCGTTAGTTCTCAGGAGAGTGAGCTAATCTTCAACAGGTAGACTCCTAAGTCTCTAAAATGTGTGCAGCAGCTGCAAGCACAGGCCCAATTCTGTTCTGATCCTTGATGCTGGGTAGCTGAGTTTAGTCTGAGAAATCAAACCAATAGAGATTGTCTAGGAGGCTAGAAGACCTTCATATCGAACAATCACTTCAAGGCTTAATGGTGTCACATTTGAAGTGGAAGTCATAGCAAGGCCTCACTTTTGTCTTACTTACAAAGAAATTTTTTTTCAAAACTCACAGAAGTTAAATCTTTAGTTGCTGAACCTGAATTAGATTTGCTAGACATAGAAGATATGCCAACAAGATATATACAAAAAAGCCCCATGAAGGATACCTTTGACAAAACTAACATTCACTGAATGAATCCCAAAGAATATGTATAAGTCTGGAAATTAAAGCAAAATAGAAATACTAGAACATTCATATTATGTTTTAAGCCAACAGATATTTAAAAGAAAATTTTTATATCCTCAAATGAAGTCAGATTCCAAGAAAACTTTTATGTTTAATGTCAGTCAAATGTTACCCCAAGGAAATGTTTGGTTTCTTTTTCTGTGCATAGCAATCATTACCCCCACTATGTGACTCTCAGCTTATGGTCAAACTTAAATCCGCTGGACAAATTCCATCTTGAATCCTCATCTTTCCTAGAAGGGAAAGTTTGGTGAGAAGGACAGTTTAGTAAAGTAACATGAATGCTGTCTTTTTGGGCTGTTTTTCTCCTGTATAAAAATAACGTAGTAGGACTCAATTCTAGAGATAGCAACAGATCTCTGGAAAATTTACCACCATGACGGCTGGCAAGATAGCTCAGGGGACTAAGTACCTGCTTAGGCAAGCTCAGGGACTGCAATTCGATCCCTGGCACCACAGGCTGCACTGGCCCCACCCCTTGGCATGCTGAGCCAGCCACCAAGACCAGGCATGGTGGCGCACACCTGTAAACCCAGCACTGGGGAAGCTGAAAACAAGAGGATCACTATAAATCCAAGCTGCATAGTAAGACCCTGTACTGAATACATTAAAATAAAAAATAAAAATTCACCACCATGGATCAGAACAAAAGAAAATGCCAACTTGTGTTTTTGTTTTGAGAAAAATGTATAAATCTAGTATTGCTGTGTTAGTCACTGAAATTCATAAGATTTTTTTAAAATTAGCTCTCTCTAGATCATATTTTGTGGTTATGAGACTACTAAGATTTTATCCCTGACAGTATGTCACAGCTAAAGGTTATGTAAGAAAGGAATTGAAAGAATCTTCTCAGTTTGTCTTGTCAACCCTTCAAAAAATATTAGGGATGTCTTAAAATCTTATGTTCTTAGCATAAAATCAATGCCTTTCTTTTGTCATTGTAAGAAATATTCATCTGAACATGATATCTAGGTACTGTCATTTAGGCTGTTATTCTTTCCTTTAAAACAATATAAAGCAAACCCCCAAAAAACTAGAAAAAAAATCCATATACATATATATATATATCTGTGAATGTCCGAACCAAAACACCTGGATGTTCTATTGCTAAGTGATGTGAGTGGCTGATGCTTTTTTTGTGTGACATAGAAGACTGAAACTTAAAATCTGACATCTGTTTTCATGTGAAAATTATCAGACTCATAGTAAGGCATGCCATTTTAGCAGTATTTTAAAATAAAAAGTCTGATTTTGTTAATTTACAAAATCTTACACACTGAGGTTTTTCAGACTTTTAATGTTAGGTTGAGTGTTAATCTGTGCTGTAGTAATCTCCCTCTCTTCTCCCATCTCATTACTTTCTGGATTCTTTAACCAAATTAAACGAAGTCTTATGATACTGTGGAAACTGGCCGTTACTTTACCTTTAAGCAGTCACTTTGTCCTAAGCTATTCAGCTCATTATAACAAAATATAGACTAGGGGCTTAAAACAATCAAAAATTTTTTCTCACATTTTTTTTTTTTTTTTTTTTTTTGACTTATCAAACTGACCAGTTCTGGAGAAAGAGAAGTCCAAGATACTGAACATTTCGTATCTGGTCAGAGTCTACTTTCTGGTTCATCTCTAGAAATATTTCCTCTGTTTCTTCCCTAGAAGAAGGGCCAAAAAATTCTCTGGAATCTTTTATGAAAGTGCTAGTGCTAGAGGTATAACTCAGTGGTAGAGCATTTGCGCAGCATGCATAATGCCAGGGGTTTGAATCCCAGTTCTACAGTAAGTATGTGTATATTATCTCAAAAGTCACATTACCTTGGTTTTA